GTTAAATTTGTCAACGACACCGAAGGAAAATCTGGATTAAAAGTGTTGTTGAAGTTTTTCACTCACAGAAGTTCAGGCCTACAAAATAGAGCCAATATCATATGGGTTTTCTAATTCCATTTGCAATTTACTAATTCAGAATTAGACATGAAAAGTTCTGACATGCTTAGTGTGTTTGCCTGCTATCAAATATGATTGGACCTTACGAGATGTTAATTTGAATCCAAGGCGTAATTGCCAGATCCCACTGTTTGCTCTTTGATGTACCAGGAAAGAAAAAATGAGGAGTCAGGACTTGTTTTAAGAGGGTCTTTACGTTTCTCTTGGACAACTTGTCTTTGAGCTATCTATTCTGTTATTTATTATTGATGCAGTGAATTGCTGATTACATACGCAACATTAAGAAGCCATGGCACTGATAATCTAGAACTACATGTAATTGCCTAACCAACACTGCAGACACTGATGTTGAGATGGAATCACAAAGAGTCTGTCAATAACAGGGATAAAGTAGACAACATGAATTTCCCCCCATTGTGTACATATAGATTGAAGACTAAAAGATACCAGACAAATATACTGCACCATTAAGGTACAAAATTGCTTGAAGTTAAAATACACACTTATTATGGAGAATTGTTAGTTCAACTTTGAATAGTCTTTACTAAAGATTTGATTATGCGTCAAAATTTAATAATTCATTCACTTTTTTTCTTCCAACATTGGGTGCTGTCAGTTTTAGAGGAAGTGGGTTACAGTTCTCAATAAAACCAAAAGGTCCACTTTTTTGGTTTGTTTTCTTTAATAGCTGCAAATCACCAATTCATACAAACTTGTTTGCTCTCCTTTGATTTCCTGCCTCTGTTCAGTGCATTCATTAGAAACACCGGCAGTCACAAGAAATGAGTGGAAATGTGTGAACTTTAATGAAGAAAACATTGCACATTTTATACTTGCTCAGCTACATGACATTGTCTTGTGCACACTCACCATCAATGCTTAAAAGCTAATTGATGCTCAAATTAATGTTTGAGCAACATAAAGGTGATGTTTTGTTCCCAAAATTTGAGACAGAATCTTTACGCTTTACCACTGACTATTTTATTTGACAAATGGTTTCAATTGGCTAGAGGTGATGCACTTTAAGTATCTTAAGGCCATAGAACCTCCATCTTAGGGATTTAGTTACAATG